TTTCAACATCAACGTTTGTGTATTTTCATTACTAACTTGAATTTTGGCGGATAGCATGGCGTCAAATCTCCGCCAAAATTCATGTTCGCATTTTCAACATCAATGTTTGCATTTTCAACATCAACGTCGTTTGTATTTTCAACATCATTTTTCGCATTTTCAACATCAATGTTTGTATTTTCAACATCAATGTTCACATTTTCAACGTCAATGTTCGCATTTTCACAACATTGTTTGCATTCTCAATTAATTTAAAAATAGGTACGCGCTGCGTACATGTGGGTAGCCTGCATTGTTTGCTAATCGCACTATTGTCAAATTCTGAATTTACTGAAAGAAAGTATTACGTAATTTGGACACAGTTGAAATATTATACACACATTTAATCACATACAATGATCAGACATGACAAAAATACGTAAACGACTGTGCATTTTCCAATAGATAAGCATAAACAGATCTAAGTCATGAAGTTACAAAGTATTTTAATGTGTCCGCAAAAATAATTTGCACACACTGAACAGTACAAGGTCTTATATGTATACGAAACAAAATACTTCACAAACACAAGAAGAGTTCTTGTTCAAGGATATATATACTAAAACTGTCTGTACCAGTGTAGGTAGTACCAATGTGAAAATGCTGTGCTGAGTGGTTATATTACTACCTTAAAAAATAAGCAGAAACTCGACGTTTCGAGCGAAGGCCCTTCGTCAAGAGTTAGTAGCCACTCTTGTTCAAGGACCACCGGAAAAAAATTTGAAAATCCATAGAAGGTCATAGAGTGTAAATTGTATGGACCTTTATTGGAAATAGAATGGATTTTGGTTATCCATAATAATTGTATATTTCCATAGTATGGATATAGTATGGAAGTAGTATGGATATACTGTGGATTTTGTGGTGCAACTTGCAAATTTCATAGTATGGATTTCCCTTTTTTTCCCAGTGGACAGCATACATCAAAGGCTTATAGGTTTATAGGCTGCGTATACAATTTTCGTGAAGTTTGAATTTCAAATAGTACATGCAAAGATCTACGGACGATGTTTTCCAACGCTGCTCGGCGGAGTTGAAAAGGATCGACATATTATTTATTCGATCCCATATGTATTGATGACATTCAACTTGCTTTTAATATTCGACAAATATATCCCAAATACTTCGTGCGCTAATATTCCACTGACCCTTGTGTAAACCGTGCTTGGCTTTCTATTTGCCTTAACTTACATATTCGACCAGCGCATTCGAAAAATATAATAAAATATATTATGCACTCATATAGTTACACATTCGACAAATATATTTCACAAATTATATTATTTGTGTATTTAAATTATATATATTTCATTTTTAGTGAATCAATGTCAATCTAGAATCTAGGGGTCTAAATAAAAGCCTTATGGTTTCTAGAAGCTCCCCCCCCCCCCCACTTCTTGTAAATACTTTATTTTTTAGATTTATTGATGTAATTTTTTTGGGGGGCGAACAGTTAAATTAATAAATAAATAAATAAAAAACGTACAAACATTATGCGGCAACGACATCGTTTACGTATTTTTGTCATATCTGATCATTGTATGTGATTAAATGTGTGTATAATATTTCAACTGTGTCCAAATTACGTAATACTTTCTGTCAGTAAATTCAGAATTTGACAATAGTACGATTAGCAAACAATGCATGCTACCCACATGTACGCAGCGCGTACCTATGTTTAAATTAATTGAGAATGCAATTATGCAAACAATGTTGTGAAATGGCGCCGCCATGGCGCCGCCATGCTATCCGCCAAAATTCAAGTTAGTAATGAAAATACACAAACGTTGATGTTGAAAATGCGAATATTGACGTTGAAAATGCGAAAAAGATGTTGAAAATGCGAACATTGATGTTGAAAATACGAACATGAATTTTGGCGGAGATTTGACGCCATATAGGATGAACGAACCATTATATAATCATACTAATTAGGACGAACAATTATATAATGCCACTTGCTTTATCAGATATAAAGTCACTCCACGTGACATATTATGGCTGACATGACTTGCCACAAGGTTTATGAATTTATTAATGAGTATTTTAAATTATTTTAATTATTGCAATATATAATTTTAACCACATGAAGGGTCTTCTTCGTGAGTATAATTTCTCCCTATGTATGTAAATAATGGCTCCATCTTTAAAATATGGTCTATATTAACTGGTATTTTTATCCTTTTAATCCTGTAAAATAATGTAAAGGCCATTGAGTGGACTCAAGAACTTTTTTCACGGACAGAAAGTTTTCCGAAAATATCATTGAAGTTGAAATTTTATTCCGACAGACAACAGGTGTCGGCCAATCACATTTTACAAAATGTTCTTTCTGCGGAAAATGTGCCTGACTGAAAATGGGCCTAAACACACTGTTACATAATGCTACATGTCATATCTGGTCATATATAGCGTTATGTATATATTAACGTTACCTGGTGTTGCACATTCCGATCTGTGCCAAAGTGATTCAAGCCTTCAACACCAATTTGAATCTCTGAATCCTGGTCCTGGAACTGCTGTATGCCGACTTCATACATGTGTAGTTTTGGACTGAAGATTAGCCTTTAAAAGAAGGAAAGTGGCGAAATACGGTTATTAGGTGACAGATAATCACTTGTTATTGTAGCCTTGCGGCTTTTCTCCGAATCCGATAGATGTGTACGGGATCTGCCAAGTAGCTTGAATTCAAATCACGACTTATCTGGTGCAACAAAACATTGAATTTTTTCATGAAAATATACCGTTAGCGCTTGATTTAAGATATTGCCTGTCAAGTTAGTACGTACAGCAGAGAATCGAAAACGGTGTTTTCCCTTACACATGCATGAAAACTACTTAATTGCACTGCAGGTGCCTATAGAAATGTCGCAGCATGATCGGGAATGATGATGTCAGACATGCATACTTAGCTATAAATGACCACAAATGCCGATCACTTTAATTTAACACCCACGTTTGTTGTGCATCTTATTGTAGCTTTCCATTTTTTAACGGCAACGAGGGTTTCAAGGTTAGGGTTAGGTGGTATAGCTAGGTTAAAATTTAATAATCAAACTTTTACCGGCAATCTTGCATGGTGATGTCGTTTCTGGTAAACCTCCTAAAAGTAAGAGGAGAGCGAAGTATATTTTAGTAAAACAGCCCCGTTATTGTGATTGAAACGCTGGGCTTTAACCAACGTCACACCATTATCTATGTCAGTCAACGTTTATTCATAAACATGCATGGTCCGTCCACTGAGCTCTACTATATATCTCTGGAGACCGTGCTCGCAAATGAAAAGTGTCCGCAAAAACATGGCGGATTTCGAGCTCCACGTCCACTATTCTCATGGTACGTTAACTGACCACAGC